ATTTAACTGAATGCTAGTAAATCCTAAATTTCTATGAAAGTGAAAATAATCGAACAAAGAACAAATAATCAACCACACACACAAACGCACTATTAGAGTAGTCCACTCTCCATACGAAAACTACATCTTTTATCATGTAGAATTTCATTATGAAGAAGAAGAAGAAAAACTACAAGAGTCTCTTACAAACCTCACAAATTAACTCTCTTTGGTGTCTCTTATTCTCTAATTGTGGTTTGCCTTTTATTCTTTCGATTGCCCAACTATATGATTTAACCTTTTTACCTAATTTGTTGGATATTTAGTGCTAGAAACACCATGTCAATTATGAAACATTATCAACTTCTCACACATTTCCTTTGCCAACTCCCACTACTTTCCTCAGGGAAACAAGTATACTGTGATTCATGCTTTTCCAAACGAACAAAAACTTCTTTAACAACAAAGATTGAGCATCAAATAGGTTGAATTCCACCTAGCTCTACATCAAGCACTAATTTCTATGTGTACTTCACTACTTGTTGAGCTATTTCCTCAAATTCTCTCTTCTCTTGGTGTAGCAATCCAATAAGTGACACTACCTCTATTTTGTATGCTATCTCCCATTATTTCTAACCCATCTTTTACTTTCAGATTCAGTATAAACATAGCATCGCATGCGATAAATTTCCACCCCAAGATCAATGGGCTAGAAGAATTATTTTTTGTTAATCACAACATGGTAATCATGGCATCATTATCAACGTTAAAGTAGACAATTTTCATCAATATTCCAATCCAACAAACACTATTCTAAAACACGGTAGTGTCTCAGCTGTATCTGGGCAAGGCATGTATATAAACATTTTTAATATAAAGAAACAAATAATACATAATCAAAAGAATGTGTTAATAAATAGCAAGTTATTCAAGAAAACAATAAAATTAAGCGTAAGATATGGTACCTCATGATCCGATGCGAATGTTATTGTTATCAATCAATGAGCGTAATAACCATACATCTTTCTTTTTATAGCTAGCAGTCCACATATCAGTTGTAATAGCAACTCTACTTCCACTAGTAAGCAATAAGCCAATAAGACGTTGTCTTAACGTTTTCCATTTGATATGTTTGAAAATTTCTTTCTTGGTGTGTGTTCTATTCATCGGAGAAAACAAAGGTTATGCACTCTTCATGAATCTTCGAAAACCCACCAAAACTCATCAAGGATAGTGGAGGCTCATGTAACACAATCATCTTTGCAAGTTTTTCCCTCAGATCATTTTGATCAAAAGTTACTTCATACACCTTTTGCGTAGATGACCCTTCATACATCATTTTTTCCAATGAATATGAATAATCTAAGATCTCATCAATCTCATTAATGAGTTACGCCTAAAGCTCTTTGAACTTCTGTTTTCAAAACAAAAATATAGAGTTTCTTAATTGAAAAGTATAGGAAACAACCTGTTGAGTGGGTTACGAATGAGCCAAAACTTGCACCGGCCAACGATGCAATGCCAACTCGGACCATAAACTTTATCAAACTACTTCATGTAGAGTCATATTTTCAATCATACATTTTCTATGATGGCTAACAACTCCTGGAAGTTTAGTATCGAATTTATTGGGCATATGAATTGCATTTTAATTATTGTTCATGAAAGAGAAACCATGAAGAACTCATTGTGAACAGTGCTAAAATTGACTAAAATAGAGCCAAAAGTTGAGCTTATGGTTATATAATTTCACTTAATTGCAACATACATACAGCTAGACTAAAGCTCGTCTACTTTAACTAATTTTCTAATACTTGAAGCTGTCAGATCGATTATTATGCTACCAAAACACGTCTCTAACAGCTTAAGCTTTCCATGTTTTGGAGTTTCAAATTGAAAAAAAAAAAAGTCATGGTGGGCTCTGATAACATTGCAGCTTTAGACAGGACACTTTTTTTTTTCCAGCCACTAGCTGTAGGACTCACTGGGAAACTGGAAGTTTTCTCAGAAGTTTGGTTTTTGTTAAGTGGGCTTGAAGATTTCAGTGTTATTATCATTTGGTTGATCTGAACCTTGCTTAAAACAATGTCACTTGTGGCTTTGTGAGAAAACCAAATGAAATCTTGCACCTATGACTCAAAATTTACTTTCCAAGCTATATGACATAGATTTCTAAAAGTCCGCAAAAAATATGTTACTTATTTCCTTACTAGGCATCTCCCATTAAGATATTTAATCAAACAGTTTTTTTACGCATTCAACTTTTAACAAAAATAGAATAAATTAAGAAGTTTTCAACCAATTCCAAGTCATTAACTTGAACATTATACATATGTATAAGTATAATGAAAATGAAAATAAGAATGCAAATTCATACAGAAAAGCTTTGGAAACAAATTGTAAAGATGAGAACCAAGTGAGTAGCAATTTTTGCAAATTCAACATTAAGCTTCCATTGATTTCTACATATCATAACTGATGTTTCATGGCCTGTGCCCAGCTGAAGCCCTAAGTAGCTGAGGCAGTTGCCTAGCGCCCCATTTTATAAGAAGGCCACAAGAGCCAAGATTTTATTTAAAAGAAAAATATGAAAGTGTTTATGTAATTTAATGCTTACATAAATTAAACCTCTTCTAAAAGGTAAAATAAATTTATCACTTAAAATATTTTCCTTTTCTAATACTCAAAATTCTATTTTGGAACATTATTACAATTAAATATTTTGAATGTTATCATCTAATTCTCGTAATATGAAAAACAAATTCCACTAATTATTTTACGAGAAGAATCATGGACCACCATCTTATTAATTCTACTAATTATATGATATTTTATTGAATGGTCAATATATAACACTAATCCTTTCCCTTGGCTAAATATTTTGAGATTCCAAATAGGAAGTTAGTTAGCAGTTTACAATTTACACTCAACAAAATCATGATTATACTACTAGAACCAGAAATTAATCTGGTTGGAGAGTACCATAAAAGGATGTGAACTTTTTCTTAATATTTATTTTATTTTCTATGTTAAAAAAATAGTTCTCAGATTTACCATTGATCAGTTGAAGCTTCTTCATTTTATCATTTTCTAGAGTTCTTCCACGAATCATGATTTATTTATTGAGCTTAAGCTTAACGAAATGTACATAGTACAGCTTACATCTAAACTTTGGCAATCTTTGATATCTTATAAGAACGGAAGCACTGCGTTTGGAACTTGTATAACAACATCTTGGAATAATGCAGCGGTAACCACCGGGAAGCCTTGGACTCTGCCCCTCTTGCAATTGCCAACTTGATCTAATTGATGAAGATGAAGATGACAAAACCTCTGCTTTTCTTCCCGATTTCTGAATAGTTTTCTCAACAACTCTATGATCCATATACCTTAACACCCTTATCTTGTTCAATCCCATATCCATCTCCACACACTTTACACCTATCAACAAAATCTATCGTCAATAATACAACAATATCTGGCATGTTTAGTTAATTCCTTTAAAGAATTCAAATCCCATATAATTAAAGCATTGATAATACAAATATACCGAGAGGGATGAGAGTTATTATGTTATTGGGTAACGGTACATCATAGTGACTATTGGATCACTCTAAGCGGGTTATTGCTCTTTGATCGTTCGAATCAAAAAGTTTTTTTTTTTCGTCGACGCAAATTCCGACAGTGTCAAGAATCTATAAACATTTCCGACAACAGTCTCGTCGGAAGTCAATACAATTGTCCCAACGCGAAGCGAGTCGGAAAATATGTCGTATTCCACCTTTTACGTACCTGTAATCTTGCACAAGGCTTCACGCACCGCTTTCTCGCAGTCCTTGCAGTGCAGGTGTACCTTTAGCTCCACCACCTGTAACATGTATATACTTGTAGAATGGAATGTGGCCAAAACAAATTGGTTGGAAAGAATTAGGATACCAAGAAGAGCATGAGATAACTTAGAGAGGAGAAACTAACAAATCTGGAAGTTGTTAATATATATAATGGTTAAAAGTGGGGAAAGAAGAAGGACAAAATGATGAGAAAGGTTGGCAGCAACAGTAAGTGCGTGAAATGATTGATTTTGTTTGTGAATTTCATTATAGCTGATAATTGTATAGTTACATGCGCACGGCCAATCTGCAGCTCACAAAGTACACATTACTGAAATTCCACTCAATTCTTTTTTTGTAACTTGACTTTTTTTTTTTTTTTTTTTTTTTTAAGAGTAGTTTTTCTAAAATATATTCCAAAAATTTTATCATAGGTGATGTGTTATCTGTGTAGTAATATTAACTGACAAACACTTTTTATTAATTTTCTTTCACAAATGTGATATGTCTGTTTGTAATTGATCAATTTATAATAAGTTATGTCTCTTCAACAATAGATTATGTATAATCAATGTAAGTTAATCAATTGTGAACTGTAACATTTATAAGAAGTGTTTATCAGTCTCTCTTTATTTTATCTAATGTAGTTTTGACATGTAAATGATAGCATATCACTTAGGATGAGACTTTTGTGATATGTTTTGGGAAAATTAGCATTACTCATTACTTGTTTTACTCATTTGAATATATTTTAGGGTTTTGCAGTAAAATAATTCCAAACTAAAAACCAATGAGCAACGATTCATGATAGATTACCCCAAAAAATACTTAATTTCCTCTCCCTCGTTAGTTATATATATAACTGATACGAGAATTTCACGTCAGTATATATGACACGTACGGATTGATGATTGATTTAGTTATATATAAGAGATTTTTTTTTTGTTTTCATGTATTACACATGTGCATGTGGTTTACTTGAAGTACCAGCACAAAACACACAACTTCTCTTGTGCCACAAACCTGCTGTTCCATGCCTTCATGCACAAAATCCCTCCTTTCTGTTACCTTCTTCAATGCTGTCCTTCACGTAACCACATGCATTATTGTATTATTTTCCTCTACGGCTCTCCTAAATATATATATATCTCCATTACTTGTCATCCTCTTCAGTCTCTTCTTGTTAACCTTATTAAATCATGTGAATTAATTTATACATTAATTTGCATCATACATTTTTCTTGTTCGATCTAATATGGAAGCAGCAAGAGAGCAGGAGATAATTTCCGCTGAGATTGTGAATAAGGGCATTGAAGATTCGGGTCCATATGCCGGCTCTTTGAATTTCTCCGTTAGGGTTCGCCATGGCCTCCCTAATTTATTGAGTTCTGTTAACTTAAAATACGTGAAGCTCGGTTATGGCTATCTCCTTTCTCATGGCTTTTACCTCTTAACTGCACCTCTTCTCATTCTGATCCTCAGTGGTGGAATCGCCAAGCTCGCCTGGAATGATTTCTGCCCCAAATATGACCTCACTCTTGCTCTTTTTATAATCGGATTACTCTCCTTCGTTATTTATCTTTATCTTCATTTAATTGCTCGCTCAATTTATTTAGTCGATTTCGCTTGTTATCGTCCACCAAATCAACTCAAGGTAATCCCTCGCTTTATATATGTATGTACGTATATATGTATCTTCATTTAATCCTTCTCTCTCTCTCTCTCTCTCTCTCTCTCTCTCTCTGTGTGTGTGTGTATATATGTGTATATATATTGTAGGTTTTTTTATTTTATTTGTATTGTAACATATTCGTGCGAAATGTTTACATAGATTTCAAAGGAAGAATTCATGGTGCTAGCAAGAAAATCAGGCAATTTTAACGAGGCTGCCCTGGAATTTAAGCAACAAGTTATGAAAAATTCCGGCATTGGCGATGAGACTTACCTGCCTAGAACGGTTTTTCGCCCCGGTTACAAACCAAATTTAAAGGATGGTCGAGAGGAGGCGGCAATGGTATTTTTTGGAGCGATTGATGACCTTCTTGCGGCCACCAAAATCCGGCCAAAGGACATCAAAATCCTCGTCGTTAACTGCGGAGTTTTGAACACTACCCCATCACTTTCATCAATGATAATAAATCATTACAAACTCAAGCACAATATTAACAACTTCAATCTCGGTGGCATGGGCTGTGCAGCTGGAATTATCGCCATCGATTTAGCCAGAGACTTATTGATCGCTTATCCGGGCTCGTACGCGCTTGTAGTTAGCACAGAAGTTGTGAGCCATACATGGTACAATGGCAATGACCCCGACATGCTTCTCCCTAACTGCTTCTTTCGAATGGGCGCTGCTGCACTGTTGCTCTCAAGCTGCCGCCTCGACCGCTGGCGCTCCAAGTACCAACTCAAACAGGTACCAAAACAAACTTTGAGTTCAGAACTTGAACAACAAAATTTTGTTCCCGAATTATTTTATATATCTTGCAGCTGGTTCGAACGCACAAAGGCATGGATAACAGAAGCTTCAAGGCAATATATTTAAAGGAAGATGCAGAAGGGAGGCAAGGGCTATCAGTGAGCAAGGAAGTGATAGAGGAGGGAGGCCATGCCCTGAAGGCGAACATCACAACTCTCGGCCCTCTAGTTTTGCCTTTCTCCGAGCAGTTTCATTTCTTCAAAAACTTGCTCTTCAGGAAGAAGACGAAGCCATATATACCTGACTACAAGCTGGCGTTTGAGCACATATGCATACTGGGGACGAGCAAGAAAGTGTTGGATGAAATTCAGAAGAACTTGGAGCTTACGCAAGAGTACATGGAGGCTTCAAGGAAGACATTGGAGAGATTTGGGAACACGTCGAGCAGTAGTGTGTGGTATGAACTGGCTTATTTGGAGGCAAACAAAAGGATGAAGAGAGGTGACAGAGTTTGGCAAATTGCATACGGATCAGGATTCAAGTGTAATAGCGTTGTGTGGAAGGCTCTCAGAAATGTTGAGAGGCCTAAGCAGAGCCCATGGTTTGACTGATTATGGTTTCTGCATGAAGGGGTAAAGCAAATTAAAGAAGAAGAGTTGAAAATTGATTCATATGTAGCAATTGTCTGAAAAAATTCTGCCTAATAATAACAGAATTTAACTTACATTTAGAAATTAATTTGAATAGTCCATCAGGATATATCTATTAAGCGAGAATAATTTATTTAATTAGAGTTTGATTAGAGTAATTTAAATTTTGACATAAAGGGAGACACTAATTATTAACTATGGATTTATTGTAATTTAATAGAAGTTTAAGGTAGTATATTTTCGAGTCACTTGTTATTAAACTACATTAGATTGATGGTTGGAAATCAAATACTTAAAAGTAGAAATATTGTATGAGGTGAAATAGCGTTACCCTTCTTAATCATTACATTGCTTGGACTAATGACTATAAACTAGGGTCATAATATTTCAATCATATATTGTAACCTTTTGATAAAGTAATCAATAGATTATATAATGAAACAAATTAAACAACATAATCCATTTAATTCAATCATTTTAGATCCATTAATTGAGAGTTGGGGGCAGAGGAAAAAATGTAGGAACATTTAAGGGTTCGTAAATTAATTTTAAACTAAACAAACTAAGGGTTAATGCCATTTACACCTTTTAAAACTTCGGAAATTAAACTTAGCCTCCACAAAGTTGAACAAATTATTGTTCATGAAAGAGAAACCATGAAGAACTCATTTGAACAGTGCTAAAATTGACTAAAATAGAGCCAAAAGTTGAGCTTATGGTTATATAATTTCACTTAATTGCAACATACATACAGCTAGACTAAAGCTCGTCTACTTAACTAATTTTCTAATACTTGAAGCTGTCAGATCGATTATATGCTACCAAACACGTCTCTAACAGCTAAGTTTCCAGTTTTGGAGTTTCAAATTGAAAAAAAAAAAGTCATGGTGGGCTCTGATAACATTGCAGCTTTAGACAGGACATTTTTTTTTTCCAGCCACTAGCTGTAGGACTCATTGGGAAACTGGAAGTTTTCTCAGAAGTTTGGTTTTGTTAAGTGGGCTTGAAGATTTCAGTGTTATTACCATTTGGTTGATCTGAACCTTGCTTAAAACAATGTCATTGTGGCTTTGTGAGAAAACCAAATGAAACTGCACCTATGACTCAAAATTTACTTGCAAGCTATATGACATAGATTTCTAAAAGTCCGCAAAAAATATGTTACTTATTTCCTATAGGCCTCTCCATTAAGATATTTAATCAAAAAGTTTTTTTACGCATTCAACTTTTAACAAAAATAGAATAAATTAAGAAGTTTTACCCAATTCCAAGTCATTAACTTGAACATTATACATATGTATAAGTATAATGAAAATGAAATAAGAATGCAAATTCATACAGAAAAGCTTTGGAAACAAATTGTAAAGATGAGAACCAAGTGAGTTAGCAATTTTTGCAAATTCAACATTAAGCTTCCATTGATTTCTATATATCATAACTGATGTTTTATGGCCAGTTCCCAGCTGAAGCCCTAAGTAGCTGAGGTAGTTGCCTAGCGCCCATTTTATAAGAGGCCACAAGAGCCAAGATTTTATTTAAAAGAAAAATATGAAAGTGTTATGTAATTTAATGGTTACATAAATTAAACCTCTTCTAAAAGGTAAATAAATAATTTATCACTTAAATATTTTCCTTTTCTAATACTCAAATTCTATTTACATTATTACAATAAAATTTTGAATGTTATCATCTAATTTCGTATATGAAAACAAATTCCACTAAATTTTACGAGAAGAATCATGGACCACCATCTTATAATTCTACTAATTAATGATATTTTTTGAATGGTCAATATATAACACTAATCCTTTCCCTTGGCTAAATATTTTGAGATTCCAAATAGGAAGTTAGTTAGCAGTTTACAATTTACACTCAACAAAATCATGATTATACTACTAGAAACAGAAAATAATCTGGTTGGAGAGTACCATAAAAGGATGTGAACTTTTTCTTAATATTGATTTTATTTTCTATGTTAAAAAATAGTTCTCAGATTTACCATTGATCAGTTGAAGCTTCTTCATTTTATCATTTCTAGAGTTCTCCACGAATCATGATTATTTATTGAGCTTAAGCTTAACGAAATGTACATAGTACAGCTACATCTAAACTTTGGCAATCTGATATCTTTAAGAACGGAAGCACTGCGTTTGGAACTTGTATAACAACATCTTGGAATTGCAGCGGTAACCACGGGAAGCCTTGGACTCTGCCCCCTTGCAATTGCCACTTATCTAATTGATGAAGATGAAGATGACAAAACCTCTGCTTTTCTTCCCGATTCTGAAAGTTTTCTCAACAACTCTATGATTCATATACCTAACACCCTTATCTGTTCAATCCCATATCCATCTCCACACACTTTACACCTATCAACAAAATCTATCGTCAATAATACAACAATATGGCATGTTTAGTAATTCCTTTAAAGAATTCAAATCCCATATAATTAAAGCATTGATAATACAAATATACCGAGAGGGATGAGAGTTATTATGTTATTGGGTAACGGTACATCTAATGACTATTGGATCACTCTAAACGGGTTATTGCTCTTTGATCGTTCGAATCAAAAAGTTTTTTGTTTCGTCGACGCAAATCCGACAGTGTCAAGAATCTATAAACATTTCGACAACAGTCACGTCGGAAGTCAATACAATTGTCCCAACGCGAAGCGAGTCGGAAAATATGTCGTATTCCACCTTTTACGTACCTGTAATCTTGCACAAGGCTTTACGCACGGCTTTCTCGCAGTCCTTGCAGTGCAGGTGTCCTTTAGCTCCACCACCTGTACATGTATATACTTGTAGAATGGAATGTGGCCAAAACAAATTGGTTGGAAAGAATTAGGATACAAGAAGAGCATGAGATAACTTAGAGAGGAGAACTAACAAATCTGGAAGTTGTTATATATTATAATGGTTAAAAGTGGGGAAAGAAGAAGGACAAAATGATGAAAGGTTGGCAGCAACAGTAAGTGCGTGAAATGATTGATTTGTTTTGTGAATTTCATTATAGCTTATAATTGTATAGAACATGCCACGGCCAATCTGCAGCTCACAAAGTACAATTACTGAAATCCCTCAAGTCTTTTTTTTGTAACTTGACTCTTTTTTGTAAGAGTAGTTTTTCTAAAATATATTCCAAAAATTTCATCATAGTGATGTGTTATCTGTAGACTAATATTAACCGACAAAATTTTTAACTTTTTGTCTATTCGTAATTGATTGATAATAAGTTCTGTCTCTTCAATATAGGTTATGCTATTAATGCAAATTAATCAATTGTGAATGCAACGTTTATGAGAAGCGTTTAACTATCTTTATTCATCTAATATAGTTTGACATGTAAATGATAGCATATCACTTAGGATCAGACTTTTGTGATATGTTTTTGGGAAAATTAGCATTACTCATTACTTGTTTACTCATTGAATGCATTTTAGGGTTTTGCAGTAAAATAATTCCAAACTAAAAACAATGAGCAACGATTCATGATAGATTACCCCAAAAAATACTTATTTCCTCTCCCTCGTTAGTTATATATATAACTGATACGAGAATTTCACGTCAATATAAGACACGTACGGATTGATGATTGATTTAGTTATATATAAGAGATTTTTTTTTTGTTTTCATGTATTACACATGTGCATGTGGTTTACTTGAAGTACAGCACAAAACACACAACTTCTCTTGTGCCACAAACCTGCTGTCCATGCTTCATGCACAAAACCCCTCCTTTCTGTTACCTTCTTCAATGCTGTCCTTCACGTAACCACATGCATTATTGTATTATTTTCCTCTACGGCTCTCCTAAATATATATATATCTCCATTACTTGTCATCCTCTTCAGTCTCTTCTTGTTAACCTTATAAATCCAAAACAATAATAAATAATATATGTACAATTAGAAACAAAGAAACTCAAGTAAACTTATACTTTCAATCAACTTGTGTCAACTATTTTTCCATATCTTCATGTTCTTCACTCCCCAACATTTCATCTTCAAGAGTTGAACCTAATTTTACAAAAAAAAAAAAAGAGATTAAGATATTAATACTAAAAACAAAATAAATAAAATTCATATAATTAGAAATAAAGAAACTCAAGAAAACTTATACCTTGAATATTAGCCCAAATCCAATTTTGGGTACACATTAAAGTCTCCAATGTTGTAGGGAAAAGCCTACTACGATATGGACTAAAAAATTTATCACCAGTACCAATCGTTGACTCATATGCAACTGTAAAAACATGAATCGCTAATATATCTCTAGCGATTTGAGACAATAAATGATATTTACCTTTATTTATCTTCTACCATCCCAAATTATCAAACTCCTTAATCTTTAGTACGGTACTCTCTTCTAAACAATGATCTAGCTTAGAATTAACTTGGCGGGAATCATTTTGAACTACAAACGCTTCAAATTCATCAAAGAACAGAGGATCAACCATGGGACTCAAAGTTGATGTAGAACTGGAAATGCCAATGGAAGAATCACAACAGTGAGAAGAGTTTCTTTAATGTAGCATTTGTTTTATTGTATTTCACCAAGTCACGACAAAGATCCAAAATTCTTTTCTTATGAGAATATGCCTCATCCACATAGATTTTGTTGAAATAAAAATAAACCAAGAACATCTTGTACTTATGATCTATGATAATCGTCACAGCCAACACTCAATGAATAACAATCTAATATGTTGCGGGGATTTAACTGAATGCTAGTAAATCCTAAATTTCTATGAAAGCGAAAATAAATTGAACAAATAATCAACCACACACACAAACGCACTATTTAGAGTAGTCCACTCTCCATACGAAAACTACATCTATTTTATCATTGTAGAATTTCATTATGAAGAAGAAGAAGAAAAACTACAAGAGTCTCTTACAAACCTCACAAATTAACTCTCTTTGGTGTCTCTTATTCTCTAATTGTGGTTTTGCCTTT